TTATCACCTCTGTCATACTATTTCTAAGGTATGTTTTAATTCTCTTTAAACTTGAGAATGTTCTTTCAGGTGTTGAAGTAGAAACAGGGAGTGTGCATAAAATTTTTAATAAAAAATGTATATTTGGGTAAATATCCATGTTACACAGTTTAAAAGCTTCAATTCTGGTTTTAGGATTGATATCTGATTGTTTTAATTGTCTTAGTTTTCTACCCCACAATTTAAGTTCAGCTAATGAATTAACTACATCCAGTTTTGTAGAATAGAAATTGATTAATTTCTTGAATGATATTTCATCAGTAAATGAAATTTCAGCAGAAAACAGACATTGAAATCCTAAAAAAAGTATTTTAATACCCAGTAATTTACCTTAAATTTGAAATACTAACCTTCAAAAATTTCTGAATGGGACAGAAAACGTTCCTGTAATTGGTTAATAAAATAATCCAAGTATGGTATGAACACTGTAACTTTGTAAAAATCTTCTATATTTAAGTGTGTATTTGGATTTGGTCGATGCTTTTGTCTATTTGTTATTCGTTTCACACACATTTCAATTCCAACAACTTCTGACATTTCCTATTAAATTATAATAAATAAATAAATAATGTATTTATTAATGTTATAAATATTACATACAATTTTTAGAAAATTATATTTTACAATACATAATATAAACAAATTATAAACCAATAGGCTTACTTTTGCTTCCATAAATAATTTATTAAATTCACTATCACAATTCCGTCGAATTTCTTCCAGACTACCAATAATATCTTTTGCAAGAGACACTGCTAATTTTAAGTCCATTTGTTCTTTTTGAATTAATTTGCATAATGGCAAACCAAATGAAAAAACCAGCTAGAAATAATTTAACAAATTATATTTAATAAAAAGGTTAGTTAATGGTGGTTTTAATTGTTTTATATTACTTTTACAACTTGTAGAGATATAAGAAACTCGGTATCAATGGATTTTAATAACAATGATGCATCAGTAGCTGTAGTATCATTCCGATCTTTAATAACATCTAATGAATCCACTACATATGAAAACAGTTGTATAAAATCTGATACAGCATCATAACGTTGAACCCATCTTGTTGCACACAATCTTTTTAATGTTTTGACTTTAGGCTCTTCATCACTTTTTTCAATACAATTCAAAAGTACAGTGTTTCTCTTAGGAGTATTAAAAAACACACAGAACTTTTCAATTATTCCTAAACAATTTCTTATTTATTGAATTTCACTTGCAGTTGAAATAGCCAAGTTAAGTGAATGCGCTGTACAATGCACGTATATGGCATGGGGGTATTGCTCTTTAATAATTGATTGAACACCTTTATATTGGCCAGACATGTTGCTAGCGCCATCATATCCTTGGCCAAATAAGAAGTCACAATTTATACCACAGCTTATTAAACCTATAAATATAAATAAATAGTAATAATAATTTTCAGTGAATGACTTACTAGTAACCTTTTTTTACTTTATTACTGACCATTTATTATCGATTCAGCAAGATTACAACCAGTTAAACTGTTTACTGTAATGAATTTTAAAAAACTCTCATGTATACAAAAACTATCATCAACATAACGAAGACATAGAGCCATTTGTTCTTTTGTGCAGATATCAGTAGTTTCATCTACTAAAACTGAAAAACACCCAGACTCATTTACACGTTTGACAATCTTGTTTAAAATAACATCTCCACATGCAATAATAATTTCATTTTGAATATGAGGTGTAATATATTTTTTTCTTCCTTCATGTGTAAGGATCTGTTTTAAATATTCATCACCTTTTGCACTGTACTTTAATATAGCTCTAAAATTGCCTTGATTCAAAGAACTCTCAACTAAAAATAAAATAAGAAAACAATTAAAAAATAAAATAAAATGAATAAACACATGTTGAAACCTACAGTCAATTTTTCCAGAATCAGTATGTCCACGCATAGCTATTTCTTGTCGGCCACAGAGCATTACACAATCTATAATTGGAATGAGCCGCTGCCTATTATTTTTGATTTTTTGTACTCTTTAAAATAAGATAATGAGAAATACACATTCATACATTTATTTAATTCTTTTCAGTACCAATTAAACAGAATCATTTCAATATAACAGTAATTTATAAATATAAAATATTGTTTTACCTATCTGAATCAATGCGTTCTACTATTGTGGGCACTTTCTTTAAGTAAATTCTTAGAAACTCATCAGATTTTAGGATAGAAAGAGTGTGATATTCCAGTACAGAATGAGCACGAAACACCTGTCAATTTAAAATATGATAGTTTAAAAACTGCTTAACTAATTATTTACTATTAAACATAATATATTTATTTAATTAAGTAATTTATCAGTAGGTACACTATGTTTCAAGTGTTTTTCTTTAAAATATTATTTTTTTACTAATAATATTAGCAAGTTAGTTACTATAGTAATATTATATTAACCTCTTTAGCTTTTTTCCAAGAATCAAATACTTCTTTCACCAATTGTTTCAGGGGTTGATTTCCTATTCCACCAGAAGTAGCAAAAAGCACACAATGCTTACAAAATGCACCCCCTTTGATTTCTGAATAAGCTAGCCAGTTAAATTCTGTTAGCCATTTGTGCTGAAACTTAAGCGCTCTACTTTTATTTTTTTCCTTAACTGGAAATTTATAGTTTGCATTAGGAACCCATACATTTGAAAGCACCTATAATACGATTACATGCACTTAATAAGACCGTTACTAAAAAATATCAGAATTTTATTAAGCACATGATAAAATAATATCATTAATTGTTTGTATTATAATTAAAAGTTAAAACAATTAGAATTTAAAGCAGAATAACTTAAAGCTTACAAGATATTTTTCTTCATCTGTTAACAAAGCTTGTTTAACAAATAACTCTATATCATTCTGGCGAGCATCAACCTGTATAATATTAATTGAACAGTATTAAAAAGCATTTAAGATTATAAAATGTAACAGTATAAAAGCAGCATTGCCATTGAGTGAAAATTATGATAAAGCATTAAAATATTAAAAGAAATACAATATAATAGGTATATGCATTATTGGGCATTAATACTTATTCTAACCTTATTTTTTTCGAGAGTAGTTTGATTCAAATTTTCATCTTCAATATGACTTGTTTCATCAATGACCATATTATCATTTTTTACTTTACCCTTGAATAATAAAGAAGAAATTTAATGCTGTAATAAAATTAAATAAACTAACAAATCATTTTTAACTAACTGTTTAATTTTTTTGGTGAGTGAATTAAGTGACGGTAATTGGTAGGTAGGTACGATAATCAATTTTTTAATGCATGCTGTCAAGTATTTAATCAATTTTAAATTGTTAAATTAATTGGTGCACAAATGGTAAATGAAAGCATATTTTATACGTTTCTACAATATTTAATATTGGGCCCTAATAATAACATTTATAATTGTTATTAATTATACATAGTATTATAGTAATTAGTAATACTTACTTCAGGCCCAGGCTTCTTTTTGAAAAAATATAATATTGTATCCGAAGGTTTTCTTTTATTATTTTCCATTTTTCATATATAAATATATAAATATTTAAAAAGTAGTGAAAGAGTATACTTAGAGTGATATAAAAACTTTACAAATGTCTTGAACAAACGTTAGAAACACAAGTGAAAAGACTAGTGCGCGGTGCGACGACATGATTTATATTTCTTAAATGCTTAATATAATAATACAATGGTCATTGGTCGTAGATAAAAGATTTGTAGATAAAAGATCGGTCAAATTGTAAACTGCGCTGTATACGTTGTATATATCGTCTGTGTAGATTGTTGATAGTAAATAGGCACTGTAATAACTAAAAATAGCTCGGTGCGTGACAAACGACGAACGCTCTTATGTTTATAAAATTATAAATAAATAAATATTAGAGATAACGAAAAAACTATAAAAGTGAAATCCACTGTTTAACATTTATTTTTGTAATACAGTAATATAACTTTTTTTTTAGTAATTTGTGTTTGGAAAAACAACAGTATATAAATACAGCACATGGGGGGGATCTATCCCCCATATCCCCCCCGTAATTACGCCCCTGAATGCACCAACGATATTCACTTTCCAATCGAACAAGATACTGAAGTCGAAAATCGAAGCATTATTTCGACTACTTATCGTGTACAAAGACACAAAAAAAATTTTAAAAAAAAATAAAAAAAAACACACATCATTGTAAAATCAATACATTCATCGTTTCACTCAGAATCTAAAAAAACACACATCATTGTAAAATCAACACATTCATCGCTCCGCTCAAAATCATAAAATATTAATACCTTTTTTACAATATTTAAATATAAGTACCAATATTAATATATCTATTCATATTTTAAAAATCCACGCTCTACTTATAACCCAAATGGCACAATTTATGATTATGAAATTTTGAACACTATAGGAATTGGTTATACACAATTGAGCGAACTTTCTTCATCAGCTGAGCTTCCATTTTTATCTTCCACTGCGTATTTAAAACATTTATCAGTTGTTAGTGATGCTATTAAAGATACGGCCATAGATGAAATGTTGAAAGCTGGAAATGAGGAACGGCAACTGGCCATAGAAAGTGGTAATATAGATGAAGACGGAATTCCGATGTGCACGGTAATCTCAGATGGCCAATGGTCCAAACGAAGTTATAAAACGAAGTTTAATGCATTTTCAGGAGATTTGAGAATTTTAAATTATTACAAGTACCTATGCAATTTCCGATAAACGATAGTAAACGTTATTTTAAGTAAAACCAAATGTTTCTAATAATAATCAGATTGCCATTTTAACACTATATAGGCTACAATTATTGGATTTAACACTAGGAAAGTTTTATTCGTGGGTATACGTAATAGTTATTGTTCAGTATGCCAGAGAGCTATGACAAGAAAAGAAGAGCCATCCAGTCATAAATGTTTTCTCAATTGGAAAAAGTCATCCACAGGTATGGAAGCAGATGGTATTCTTGAAGGCTTTTCAAGTAGTATAAACATGCACGGGCTGAAGTATAACAAGCTTATTGGTAAATATTATTAAAATTTGATTTTTATAGTATAGCGTAAAACAACAATTATTATTAGAGTATTAATTTGTTTATTTCTAGGCGATGGTGACAGAAGTGTGACCAAAAAGTTGAACGAAGTTTTACCATATGGCAGTAATTTTCAAATTAAAAAAATAGAATGCAAGAATCATCTGTTAAGGAATTATGGTACAAAGTTGACCGCGCTTACAAAACAGACAAAATATTCAATAGTCATTCGAAAATTTATAACATCGAATATTTTGCGTTTCCGTTCGGATATAACCAAGTCAATTGATTATCATACAAACACTGATGTGCCTATTCACAACAAAGTTGAAGGTTAATATTTTTATTTTCTAATAATATAATATAATTTAGGTATAATATTATGAATAAACAAATTACCTATAGTTAGTGTTACTGTAATTTTTATTTCACTGTCTTATCTATATATTTAATAAATTGTTTCAGATAATTTATAAAACTAAATGAAATAATAGTACTAAAATAACTTAGGCACCTATATTCTCAGCTGCAGTGAACGATTTAAAAGATTTAAAAGATTATAATCTTTTAATATTAGTTCACGTTACTATATATTTTATTCCATATTATTGTTACGCAATATTTCTTATATTTTATGTATTTTACAGTTTTTACTGTCAGTCAGTCTATATTTCTAAAAATAATTTATTATATATTTATAGGTATAGGAACTGCTATAAATTATTTATTTTTATATTACAGTAGTTTATTATAATTTTTGTTATTGTTTTAGCACTTAGAAGAGATATTTCCAATAGCATATATCACAGATTAGGACAACATAGTAATTGTGCTAAGTACTTCTGCTCTGGTTCAAAAAATGGAGAACCAAATTTGGTACCTCAAGCAGAGGCAACGGGGATAATGACGGATATGCGAAATATAGTTTATAGGCTCACTATAAACGCCGATAGTTTGATAGAAAACGTAGATAATAATCCATGTGAGCAATTTAATTCTATCATAAATAAACACATTGGTGCAAAAAGAATAAATTTTACGCAAGGACACAACTATCAGACTAGAGTTAAAGCAGCTGTGGTTGCATACAACTCCAAAAACTACATCCGAGCTGTACACAAAAAAATTATGACTAAAAGTCCAGGTAATTTAACAATTATTATGTAAAATATATCATTGTGTATTATTATATTTTTTTTAAATCCAACTTTTAAAATATTTTTTTCAATTATATTAAATATTTTATTGTACTAAAAAGATTTAAACAGGTAAATTTGGTAAACGTTATATAAAAAATATAGAACGTATTAGAAACAAAACGATATCAAGAAGAAGAAAATTATTTGATGAAGGGCACAAACGAACTAAGCCAAAATCAAAATTCAGTGGACCCGATGTCGATTATGGGCTAGCTGAACCGTTGGATAATTGTATGCCTATCGAAGAGTTAGAAAGAAAGAAACAGCTTTTCATTAATAAATTATTAAATGTCGACCGCGAACAATTAGAAAATAAGACAAGGGAACAAAGTCTTAATCAAGATTGGTTTGTCGAACGAAAAAAAAGATTGACTGCTTCTCACTTTGGTAATATATGTAAAATGCGACCAAACACGAGCTGCCGAAAAAAGGTCCACAATGTGTTATACAAGTTCGGTACAACAAGTAAAGAAATGAATTACGGAATTCAAATGGAACCATTAGCCAGACGTGTTTTTGAGACATTAATCGGGGTCTCAGTTAAACTATGTGGACTTTTTACAGATAATCAATTTTCGTATTTAGCTGCAAGTCCTGGTAATATTCTACATATTATAATGAAACAATTTTTTTATCAAATTATGTAAATGAACCTATTCTTATCTATAGACGGAGTAATTGATGAAAATGCAATAGTGGAGATTAAGTGTCCATACGCGGCAAAAGATTCATTAAGTGCAGTGAAGCGGTTCAAAATAAAATGGTATGGTAATATGCATTTATATATGTATAATAGTATATTCAACATACTGCATTTAAAATGTATATCTACGTTCATATAATATCATAAACATATCGATTCAGTTACAGTACTGCAGAATAGATGATTTTTGTAAAATAGTTCTCAAAAAGGAACATAATTATTATTACCAAATTATGGGACAACTCAGAGTTACAGGGCGAAATGTTTGTTACTTTGTAATTCATACAAACCAATGGACAGAAATACAAATCATCCATTTTGATAATGAATTTTGGGAAAGTACTATGTTTAACAAGTTGAAGATGTAAGTAATAAAATATATCATAATCTAATTATTTATCATCATTGGATACCTATAGTATATACTTAAATACTTTATATACTGATATAATATGCCATATACAAGTACTTATAAATAACATAATATATGTATTTTATTAATTTAGATTTTATTTGGAATGTTTGTTGCCTGAAATTGTAGATCCGCTTTATGGGAAAAGGTTGCTAATCAGTGACATAAGAGAGCCAGAACATATTTTGAATGCTCAAAAAAAAAAAAAAAAATCAATAAAGTAAAACTACATAAATGAATTGTTGTTTATCCTTAAATATTCCTCAAAAAATATATATAATACATAATTATATGCCGTGTACAATATTTTTAACTAAGTAAAAACGTTTGTAGAGCGATTACGGTTATGGCATAGAAAAATAATTAAAACATAGGTGCATACTAATTATTGTCTTCCGAAAAAATAATATTAAATATTAATGTTGTGAAATGTGAATGGTATTTGACAATTATATAATATAACAATACATAATATTAGGTTCATAAATATTTAATATCGTACCCCCAACTCAATAGATCTTTTATTAACCTTTTTGTTATGTCTACCCATTTGTACAATGAAACCTATAATCAATGGTAGGTATTATGGTAATGCATTCGACAATATTGGAAAGTATAAAATAAATTCATAATAGGTATGTCTATAGGTATATTGATATTTTTACAAACTAAATGTAAATTGTAAGTTAATGTATGTAAAATATTGTTAACTCGAATATTTAGATATTTGGGTTACTGTTATAAATTAGTTATTATTATTTACTGTATTGGTGTACTGTATATATTTTTTAATGAGTAAGGGCCGGTTCTACCACCTATAGATAACTCTTAGTTAAATTTATCCATAGGATAAGTTGACTCATACCGTTCTACAATGTCTAGATATCCCTGAACCTGTTGGTAAAGTCATTGGTAACTTGTCAAACAGTTTTACTACTGAATAAGTAATTTATCTAGAGGATAATCAATCTGTAGATGTGTAATCGATCTGTATGTCAGATTAATATTATCATATTATGAACTGATGTTATGCAAACTATATAGTGTTTTAATATAAAATATATTTAGTTTAAATTTCAGTGTATAAGCTTATAATAATTTTTAACTAAAAAATGTTTTGTAATTTTGATATTATATCTGATGAAGATGAATATAATATTGAAGATTTTCCGAAACCACGAAAAAAAAAAGTATTTCGAAATCGAATGGAAGGTTTAGAAATGTGGGATGATGAAGAATTTTTTATGAGATTTAGACTAAAAAAAACAACAGTTAAAGAACTTTTATTTAAAATTGAATTTCATTTAAAGTCAAAAACGAACAGGTACCTAAGTAATTTATTGTATATAATATATTTTATATGAAACTATACTTTTATAGTTTATACCTATCTATTTCTAACATTGCCGCGGGTCATTTGATAAAAAAAAAATAATAATAATAATATGTAGGTTGTAGGTACCTATACTATGTTTCTAATAAAAAAAAATACCTAAACATTTTATTTTAATTTACTTTTCAGAAACCGTGCCATATTGCCTATAACAAAATTGTTATTGACACTTAGGTTTTATGCATTAGGGACAATTTTACTTGCTGCTGGGGACTTTGTAGGAGTCAGTAAAACTTCAGCCTGTAATATTGTTCGAACAGTTACTGAAGCTATAGCTTCTTTAAGACTTGATCATTATCAAATTCACTAGGATTACCAGTAATTGAAATTGATATTAATTTATGAATCCTCTGTGATCTATCACTAATTTTCACAACTCTTTTTTCACCACCACCAGTTTTAAACAACTCTTTGCGTTCTTCAGCATACTCTTTCCTTGCACACTTTTTCAGCCCATTGTACTTATCTTTCAATGTTTTTACCGATCTAAAATCACTAGTCACATTCACGCTAAATTCTTTTTGTATCACCTGCCAGCATTTATCCTTTTGTTTCCACGTTTCTGAATCAGTTTCTTTATTTTCGATGATATTTTTATATTTCTCGACCAAACTTATCAACCTGTTAACTTCATCACTAGCAACATTTTTTGAACGACTTTTCTCTTTATTTTTTATGTCCGACATTTTAAAAATATACAATTTATAAAAATGTAAAAATCTTAATTAATTAGGTACTTCTTACGATGGTACGACGTTAGTGCGATTACGAATACGAATTATTAGAACTATAAAAGTTAATATAGAAACAAAGAACTCAATACTTATAGAAGTTAATTGCAGTTTAGTACGGTACCTTTCAATTATTATCAATAATCTACTATATTTATTATAGATAATACAACAATATCATGGAAAGAATAACAAATTAAAAATTAATTTAACTACAGGATTACTATCCAATAGATAGTAATTCATAACACAAATATTACTTGTAGAACACACATTAATTATCAATAAGATAAATGTCTTGGATAACGTTATCTAATAGATAGTTAACTGATACTTTATCTATAGATGGTAGAACCGGCCCTAAGTATCCAAAAATGAAATAGATACAGGCCACGTAACTGCGTAAGTACGCGCGAATATTAAACATATTACGGCGGCAATGCGGCATAATAATATAACGTGTTTCATATTCACGCGACCCGACGCAGACAAAGGTTGAGTAAATAATAAACGTCGCTCCCGAATGACTAATCGTAGGCCTGCCGTCGACTGTGAGTAGTGGGCGCGGCTTAATCGTCGCGTGCTTGCGCATCGCGAAAACAACTAACAGCGCATTCTCTTGGTCATTGCACGGTTTCGTTTGCCCGTGTGGCGTCCTCTTAAAACTGAAGGAGATATTCAAAAATTAAATATACCATATTATTATCAACCAAGAAATCCAGAAATAAAACGATTAATCAGTTCAGAAGAGACTTCTGGAACTCTAAAACGTTCTAGTCAAAAATCAACAAGTAATTCTCCATTGCCTAAAAATGTTATAAACTTAGGTATTACTGCAACAAGATATTTACCATCTTTAAAAGATACTAATTCTTTTGGAATATATTATAATGATAAAGATGATAGGTATTTATATAGCCGTGTTTTCACGTTCAACTTGTTTATACTTTTAATCAGACGTGGTTATAAGATTTTGTTATTGGTCAAAGACTCTCGAAAACGATGTGTTTGTGGTTATAAAATATTGTAGGAAATAGCTAACCGATATATTTATAAATAAATTATTATTTGTTATTATTTTATTTTTGTGTAGTGTACAACTTTATTTGTGTAATACAGTAATAGTGTATAATGTTTAACGGTCTTAGTAAAGTTATTTACAGTATTTTTATATAAATAATTATTATATTAGGGGTACCTACATCATATTAAAATAATAATTAACTATGGAAACCGCCGTCTTACCTATAATTTTAAATCAGTTAACTCAATTGAATAATGAATATGTAGAAATGTGTTCCAATCTAATGTTTCATCAAAATATAATTAAAAATAATGTTAAAAAAAGAAGAAAGTTAATTTCAACATTTTTAAAAAGACAACATTATAGGATAAATAATACAGTTGATAAATGGATAGAAGCATACATTGACAATGATTTTCATGGGTAAGTGATATAGGTACTAATGGATTATTTAATTTAGTTTTTATTTTAAATTTTTAATGATTTACATAGTTGTATATTATTGTTTTACATACATAGACATTTCCGAATGACAAGAAGTACTTTTACAAAACTGGTATCAATGTTTAGGCAAGATGCACAAATGGATGTATCTTATACTGGAGGCCATGAACCTTTATCAATTGAAAAAAAAGTAAACGAATTATAGTTACTAAGTATAAAACAAATTTAAAACTAAATTATGTCATTTTTTTAGTTATTGATAACTCTATGGTACTTAGCTAAAGAAGGAGCAATGTTCACCACGTACTGTAAAAAAAGCTGTAGACCTAGTGGTAAATCAATTATGTAAATTCTCCTCTAAAATAATTGTTTGGCCTAAGAAATCGGACTGTGTAGAAATTGCGAAAGTTTTTCATGAAAAGTCCAAATTTCCAGGTAAATATTATCAAATTTAGTTTAAAATGTATTTCATTCATTAATGTTATATTATTGAAATTATTAAAATGTAGGTGCTATTGGTGCTATTGACGGATGCCATTTTACTGTAAAACCTCCTGCAGATCAACAGGATAGCTATACAGATAGAAAATTAAACAAATCAATTCTAATGCAAGGAATTTGTACATCCTGTAATAAGCTTGGTGGCTTGGTACCTACTATCGTAGTACTAATAGTAGATAAGTGGCAACCAAGTTATTATAATTGCAGGTCGCAGACACTTTATTGATGTTGTGGTCGTGGATGATGAATAAATAAAAGACAGATGTTATTTATTGTGAATTTTATTCTAACGTTCAATAATTTTCTAAGTCCAAATAATGTTATACAGAGTGGCGTGAAGGTGCTTGCACTAGTGGATGGTAGTACACGTCTGAATACAGGTCGTTTCGGGCTCCCTTTTATATGAAGTTCCCCTTACCCCTTGCCTATAGATACTGTATCTCGGCACACGGATGTGATCTGGTGTGGCCATCGTTCCAGCCCACGCATTTTATGACTTCCCAGTATTATTCTGCGTATTACTAAAATGTTAATCTATGGTCTATTTCATTAAAATAATCATTTTACTCTATTATATTTTATATTTTGAATATTGTCGTACACAGTGCTTCCTGAGTCATTATATTATTCAGTGAGCCTGTTTCCTTATGTTAACCAGTAGGAAATCCTATTTCC